TCCCCCGGCGAGAGCAGCCCCAGCGCTGGGACCAGGCAGCGGCAGCGCAGAGATGCTGGGGCTTCAGCCCAGAGGGTGCGGGTGGCCTCGGGATGGAGCTTGGGTATCAGAGGCTTTTTACCAAAGAGGAATCTCGTTAATGAAAGTCCTCTCCCACCCCGCTGTACCGCGGGGGGATTTCCTCCCCGTCTCCCAGGACGGAGAGCGGCAGGCAGAGGCACTCGGAAAGGCTGGGCCAGGCTCCAGCCCAGCGACAGGAGGCTGCACAACCCCCCGCCATCTCCCCGGGAAGTTTTTTCAGGGGCTGCCCATTTCACACCTCGCCCCTCAGGTGTGCCGGGATGGACAAGGATGCTCCGTAGGGAAACACAGGCAGCAGCCACTGGCTCCAAGGGCACACAGCCTGGGAAAGAGGGGGGGTGCAGGGCAGCCCCTGCCCCTTCCCCAGAAGCGCAAACCAAATTCCAGTCTGGTTGCCTGCAGAGCTGGTGGCTGGTATAAAATGGCTGCTGCTAAATTTTCTCTGAAACATCCTAAACTTTTAATGCGTATGAAACCACGGCAGCATCCCTTTCGCGCCCCGGAGGGCACAAAGGCACAAGCGTCTCCTCTCTCCCATTCAGCCGGAGCCACGTGCCGCAGTCTGAACAGCGCTAGGTACGTGGCTGGAATGAAAGTCGCCTTTCCAGCTCGTGTGCTCAGAGCGCGTTTGCCGAAGTCAAAGGATTGCCAAGTTAAAAGGGTCAAACCTCCAAGGACAGTTGTATCTGACTGGCTATATATCATTTCAATAGCATCTTCAAGGGGGATTATAATCTGAACTGAAGCGGAAAGACCCAAGGCAATGAAGCTGTCAGCAGTCTAAGATTAAGGAATTAAAACAGCAGCAAAGCATTACAGGATTTGTTCTAGATGTATTAGGAAGAGCAGGCTAAACACACTGCAGCTCTCCTGAGGTCGGAAATTTCATATGAGTACAGAGAAGGGCAGGAGCAAGGATCTCATCAATATACATAGAAAGAGCGAGGAGAGCGAGACAGAGCTACGAAAACCCAGCCATGTAAAATATAAATCCTAACTGTAGATGGAAATGAGTCACACAAGGTTTGACTGAAGTAAATAAAAGCAGAAATGAAGTGGATTTAGGAGAGGGCAGAGGTGGAAAGACACTGATAGCCAGTACACAGGCAAAAAATGGCCCTTAATATTCTAAGGCTGGTAAAATCTGGAACGCAGCCCAGCCTGCTCTTGGATTGCCTGACGGAAACGCAGGTCCCCAGCCCTGTCCTCCCTTCCCCTTTCCCTTTCCCATTTCCTTCCCCTTCTCCCTCCCATGTTCTTACACCTATCTCTGGATGGCAACTGCCTGCATAGGGCAGCTGAGCCCAGAGGGAAGGGGGCACAAGCCGTGCCTTTGCCTCTGTCAAGGTCCCCAGAAGGCCACCGCCAGCTCTGCGCAGCTTGGGAGGTATCCGCAGCTCTTCTCAGTGGGAGGCAGAAGCTCTCAAAACAAAGAAGGAATCAAACTCCCACCAAGGGACCCATTAAAACGATCCATTTATTTCTGGCAAATTGCACACACCTTTCTTTCATTCGCTCTATCCTAGATCAGTCGTGGGGAAGAATTTTTCCCTTGCCTTAAAGATATCAAAGTTATGGGACGAAACACAGAGAAAAGCAGGGAAGTGTCCCTTGCAGATAGAATACACAGGAAAGTTTTGGCGACCCAGATTCCATGCAGCCACCAGCTCTGCTCGGCACAAGCCATAAAGATGCAGGCTGTACCGTGCAACACCGCTCGCTCCGGCACATTTCCTTCAGTTACATGATCCAAAAAGAAACTGAATCACTCCCTGCGTCTCAAACACACAGCCCGGTTGAAAACTAGAACAACTAGGGCCCGAAACAACGATGCCTGGTTGACAACTAGATTAATCCTGAACCAGGCCATCTGTAGAGAACTGTTGTACTTTATTGACACAGAAACGTACCCAGCAGAACACTTCCCTGCACACACAAGGCCATAGAGCAGTGATGAGCTGCTAGATCTAGGACACAGAAGGAGATGGGAAGCTAACGACAGGCGGAGCTTGTTCTGCAGCACAGGTAGAGCATGGAATCGCTTTTCAACTCCTCCAGCCAACTTCTACTGGGAGATTTACATACAAGTCCTCAATCAAGTCTTTTAAGAGTTATCCAGAGTCCCCTGGGTAAAAACAATCTGTTTCAAGAAAGAGGAGAGTCCAAAGCTGCTCAGTGATTCTTTTTGGTTGAGCCGAAACCAGAGAAACCCATCACAGCTGCCATTTCGTCATCCTCTTCAAATGTCAAATCTTCCTCCGCCCGCCTTTTCTTCTCTCTCTGCTTCTCCTTCTTGTAGGCTTTGGCCTTCTCCTCCTGCAGCAACGGACAGAACAGCAAAATAATTTGAACCTCCTGAGCCGAGCAAGCTTTTGAGACACCGGGCACTGCACAGTGAACCCAAGTCCTACCAACAGCACCCAAGTTGTGTCTGAGGAAATAAAATAGCCAGCAGAAATCCTGGACTACAGCCTCCCAGGAGGAGGTTTCCCACTGTCTCCAGACCACCCCACCTACCACCCCAAGAGCAGAGTCACACAGAGGACGTAGCGAAAAAGAAGTGCTATGAAACTCTCTCTTCTGAACAAACGTCAGAAGTTTTGTCTGGAATCAATGCTGAGGCAAGAAGGAGCTGTTTTTAAAGCAGGAGCCATTTCCCTCGTAGGATGCCCTGATCCAGGACTGCGATGCCGAATGTTGCTGCCTGTTGGCTTTCAGCCTGACAGAGCGACAGATGCTCACTGGAACAGAAGCTGAAGCTCTGAGCAGCTTTGGGGGGTTTTGGCATCAAAGAGTTAGCGCTGCTCTAATCAAAGTGTTTTGCTCTGCAAGGATCACAAGCCCTGGAACAGCGCCAGGCTTGTACCGGGCGAGGCAGAAGCATGGCTTTGGCTCCCAACTTAGCAACTGCTCCTGCCATTCCCATCACCGTCCGCTGTGCCGCAGCTACAGCAGACAGCTGTGCCCTGGAGAAAGCGACACCAGAAGTTGCTGCTGATTTCTTTGTTGCCATGCATTGACTGGCAGTAGCTTTTCAACCCACAGCACCCCCTGCGCTGCTGGGGCGTCTGTCTCCTACCTCCCCCAAACAGATCAGGCTCAGCACCAAAGCCTGGCCGAGAGCAGAGCACAGGGCTGCTCTGTGTGCACCCCAACAGAGCCCCCCTGCGCTGAAGCAAAGCTCAGGGCTTGGGCAGGGAGACTCAAACAGGCAGCAATTTTTAATGTTTGGTTGTTATGTGACTACTGATGGAGGAGAAGCATCCGTAGAAACTCCTCAACTGTCACAACTTTGTCAGGTTTTCAAATAAACTTGATCTTCATGTCAGGGAGCTGACACCTAAGCCCAGGTTTGAGAGGAATCTGCTGTCTTTCACTGCCTCCACGCACGTCTCACATCACAGCACACCGCTCACAAAGCCCTTCCACACTTGGGGAGGCCACACAGAAGCAACATGCCACATGGAGAATGATCACAGCAATTCTAAGAACCATGGAAGATAAGGGACAAAGACACAGATCTGCTTATCAGAGCACAGAAGTTCAAACACAACTAATGGGAGACAAAAAACAGGTGCATTGTCAGGCTTGTGCAGCTTGGTGGGAACCTGAAGCATCAAAAGTTATCCTCACACAGAAAGAGGGGAAAAGGGTTTCCAGGGACAGCAGCAGAAAACTTTTTAAAAAGCAAACAACAAAGAAACAAAACCCACTCATAGCAGAAGACGAGAAGCCCATGCCACCAAGAACAAGGCTTCTGTGGAACACAATTAGGAACCAGGGTTGATTTCCTCACAGAACATGTTTCTGGGGGGCTTTGCTGCATCAGTCATTGCCCAGAATTACCTCCTCACGGAGTTCTTTCATCCTCTCCTCAAAGTCATAGTCCTTCTGCTTCTCTTCCATCTTCTTCTTGTTCACCTCAAAGCGTTTCTTCACCTGGTCCAGTGTGGAGCGCTCCACCCGCATGGACATGCCCAGATTTCTCTGGTCTAGAAAACAGGAGTGGAATCAACCATGTTCAGCAATATTCGTAGCCTTTGATGGTCTGCACATAGTCCCCGTCCAAGGGAGGTTTAGACTGGACATTAGGACTCGTAGCCTTTGACGGTCTCCACATAGTCCCCGTCCCCGATCCCAATTTAAATACCTCAGCACGGCAGCCTCTTCCTGCTTGTCACCTGTCCCCTCAAAGCAGCTTCCAGGCCAGACCACACTCATGCACAAGGCCACACGCCCTCAAGGCTCAGTGCTCCAACCTGACCCAGCCGCACTGACTCACGGGCCACTCACCACTCAAAGCGCAGGGAGCAGTATTGTCCTCCGTGTTCCCGAGCGGCAGAG